TTCCTCTTGAGGTGAATTCCACGATAGGACAAACAGTTTTCAATAATCGCACAAAACATTACGCTCTCTTCTGTGTCTAAACTATGTTGTTATAAGCTCTTATTAGTTAATCAAACTGATAATTCCTTCAAACTGTCTTTTAAAAAACTCTTTTCTAGATTCTTGGAACTGATCAACCATCTACAACACCATATGAAGAACCCTCTTCAAATTGATGAAATTGATCAACCGTCTGCGCTATCATTTGAAGAACCCTTTTTAGATTGATGGATCTGATCAACCATCAACAATACCATTTGAAGAACCCATTCCTGATTCATAGAGCTGATCAACGATCTGCAATACCATATGAAGAACCTTTTTCAAATTGATGAAACTGATCAACCGTCTACGCTATCATTTGAAGAACCCTTTTCAGATTGATGGATCTGATCAACCATCAACAATACCATATGAAGAACCTATTCCTGGTTCATGGAACTGATCAACCATCTGCGCTACCATTTGAAGAACCCATTCTTGGTTCATGAAACTGATCAACCATCTACAATGCCATTTAAAGAATCCTTTTCAGATTGATGGAACTTATCAACCGTTTGAACTACCTTCTAATGAACCCATTGTTAGTTGATGGAACTGATCAACCAAATCAACTACTTTTTGACAAACGCAGTACTAGTTGATGGAATGGATCAACTCTCTGAAGTAATTTTTGATAAATCCATCACTAGTTGATGAAACTTATTAACCATCTGAACTACCTTTTGATCTATCAGTTCGAGGTTGGTAAAACTCATCAACCGTTTGAAATACCTTTTGATGAACCCGTTACCAGTTAATGAAGCTGATCTATGCTTTCTTTTAGCTCCATGAAAATATTCTCTGATTATATACCCGTTGATAAACGAAAGTTTGCATTGAAATTAATTGGTTTTTTAATTTCATATACCCTCTTAAAGGGTTTATCAATTTACAACGAATAACATACCCTTTTTCCGTTTTACACTCATATAAACCTTCTGATAAACCGTTTTATACAGGTATTTACAAATGATAAACCCTCTTTTTTCACTATTTTTCGGGGTAGATAAAAGGATTTAGCACAATTTAATAAACGGTAGAAAAGAGTATTTTATTCGTTGCAACTTGATAAACGCTTAAAACGTTTATCATTCTACCGATTTTTTTTCAGTGTAGTTGATGCATTATTGCAAAATATTTTAATAAATTTATCAGTTTAATAGTCTTGCTATAGTGCATATAGATAAAAGAGTTCATAATCAATTTTGATATATAATGATAGAAAGATCTCCACTTTAGTTTTTTTTGAAATCCTACTTTTTATAAAATTGACTTTAATAAAGCTAAAGCGTTTTCAAACTTTATTATTCATCCGTCAAATATCAAACTTTTAGAAAATGCTTGATTTCATATAAGATAGAACTTCAGTTTTATTCTCTGCTGAAAGTCAAAACTAACATTAATTAACTCTCATTCGTATATAAATACAGTTATATCAGCATCCAGACCGCGACAGTCTAGGGTCAAGTGTATCGAATTTCGATGAACGCTACTTGTTATTAATTCGATCTGTAGAAAAAGAGTTATATCAAAATTAAAATTTTCTATCATTCTGTTCATTTTTGTTAATCAAGTTTTTTGTGTATTTTCTTCTTTTTTGTCAAATATTATACTGAAGTAAAGTTAAAAGTGATTTTTATTGAAATATCTGCTATTTTTCTATTACATCAGTTGTTGAAATATGCTACTGTAACTCAGTTTGAATAAAATAACGTTTTACAACATTATCTAAAACCGTGATTGCTTTCGAAATTGATTCCTTATCAAAATATAATATTATGCCAAATATGCAGGGTACCCTGCCGTACACTGAAAACAAAAAAGGGTTTATACGAAACTAAAAAAAGGTTTCGATGTTTGCAACGAATTCGAAACCTTTTTTTGGTTTCGTATGGTCGAGGTTTTGTACCATACTATGGTCAAACCTACATGAAAAATGGTTTCGTAGTCAAGGTTTCGTACAAGCCTGTTTTTCAAGAGTGAATAAAAGGGTTTCGTATCGAAGGTTTCGCATAAATCTATTATCTGCACTCCAATAGATGGGGTTCCGTAATCAACACCTATTGCAATTCAGTCTCTAGTTTCGTAAAATGCACTATTAAAGACTATTTTAAGTAAGCATTGCTCAATAAACAATATCATTTATTAATTTTCCTATGTGATTCTGGCGTGCAACAGTAAAAGATACACTTCTCCCTGGCTTTTCTCTGTATAGAAGAAGACCATTTGAATTATTCCCAGTGGTCAAGTTGCGTTTATGATCATCTAAATGAAAGAAAATAGAATTAGTTTTATAGAAGTATTTTGCTTACCGACTAAATTGTTCTTTTCATCATGTTAAATAAATCGAATTAGTTCATATTAAAGCGATTTAATATTTATAAATCCATTCTTCGGATCAATCTAAATGTAAAAGAAGAGAATTAATTTATATCAAAATAATAATTGATCAATAAAATTATTTTTCGATCGTTCTAAACATAGAAAAACAATAAAATTATTTAAAGTATCAACTTATCTGTAAAATTCTTCTTTGGATCAACCTAAATATAAAAGAAAAAATGAATTGAATTTTAAATAAATAATTACCTTTAGCTCTGTTTCTTTGGTTCATCCTAAACATAAAAAAAGCAATTCAATATATATTTAAATAAACACTCACATATAAAATTATTGTTCGAGTTAGCTAAAATGCAGAAGAAGATATATAATTTAAATTAAAATAGTTACTTACATATAGAACTATTCTTTGAATCAACCTAAATATAAAAGAAAAATAAATTGAATTTGAAATAAATAATTACCTCTAACTCTGTGTCTTTAGTTTATCCTAAACATAAAAAAAACAATTCAATCTATATTTAAATAATCACTTACATATAAAATCATTATTTGAGTTATCTAAAATGAAGAAGAAGATAAATATTTTATAATAAAATAGTTACTTGCACATAAATTTATTCTTTGGATCAACCTAAATATAAAACTATTGAAAGGTTCCAGAATAATACATACTGCTGAATTTGCTGTTGATTTTAATAATTGGATGTACAATTTTTTTTTAAATGTTTTGAAAAGCTTCGAAACACTTATACGATATTTTGCTTTTCTTTATGACAATTTTCTGAATTTTTCGAAAGATTGACGAAATTAAATCAGATCGACTTTTTTTCGAGAAAAAAATGTAAATGAATGATAAGAGTAAAGAGCCGAAATATAATTAAATGCAAAGGAGAAGATATTTATTGAAACAGCTGCTACTTAAGTTTGATAGACGTAATATAGATAGAATTAATCAACGAAAAGTTTGCATACTCATATAAATAAAAAACTGAACAGAAATATTTCTGGTTAATTTGTCTTTTAACTCGTGTACGTTTTACACGTAATGCTATTGGTTCTTCGGAACTAGCAGGACGTTTTTTTGCTTGAGAAGTTTTTTTGTTTGAAGTAGTTGAAGATCGATCAGTTGATGTTGCTGATACTTGCTGTTTGATATTTGCTTCACATAATGTATTGTCATTCGAAGATGATGAAGATGCTATTTGTCTTTGTTGTTCTTTTGTTGGTGAAATGTGAATAACAAGTGGAGGATCAATTGGTGATGATGAAGAAGAAGAATCCGATGATTCTGATGAATACTCATTGATCAGATCCTTCTCACCAATATTTGTAGCTGTTGTTTGATCTTGACTATTACCTAATAATACAATATAAATAATTCATTTTATTTCTTATACAATGAAAGCAAACCTGTTGTACTTTCGACATATATTTCTTCGTGTTCTTCACTATCTGGTAAATCATCAGTTTGATTATCTTCGACTTGTGTCACACTTTCAATTGTAGCTGTAATAGTTTTGAAATTTGTCGAGTTCGTTGTCACCATATCACCACCTTCTTTATCTTCTTTTTTATCAATAATAAAACTCCATTGATTCAGTAAAATGCGTAGTGGTTTTGTTAATGCTCCAGATTGTTTTAATAGAATACCATATAACAATTGAATAATTCGATTGTGTATACCAAATTGTAATTCAAATATAACATATAATGAAATAACAATACATATAGCTTGATCGATTGATGATGTTTCACTAATAACTTCATAATCGAGAAAAATAATAAACTGATCTGTTGTTATTTGTATAGCTGGTCGTGGCGATAATGGTTCCTTAACGATAAAGAAAAAAATGGGACCTTTTCTTTTTATAAAAAAAATAAACAATAGACATAATTAGCCAGTTGATTATGTGATGATTTTAGTTTTCAAAGAGATTTATTACGTACTTTATTCGATATGATTTGTTGCCATGAATCAGTAAAATACTTCGATAAAAGTTTAATCAAACGTACAGCTGGAAGATCTAAAGAATAACTGAATGGTATTAAATAGATAAACAGTCAACGTATTCACTCACCGTTCACAAAACCCGTATTATCTGGAATGCTATCAAGTAATTTAGGCAACATAAATTTGAAATTTTCTTCAATATCAACATTACACACATATCGAATCTCGTCGAAAATCTTTAAAAAAAATTAATAAAAAAATTATAGAAAGTGAGAAAAGATAATGATGAGCATACCAATGAAGCATAACAATAACCTGGGTATTCTTCAAGAACTTCTTTTGTTGTATGATCTCTAATGAAACTTCTTCTTTGAACTAATGTTTTTTTCCATGAACTTCTAACCAAATCCGAATCAACATTCCGATCTACCAATTCGTTCTTCATAACCTGGATGTTTTTATTTAAATCTTCCGGATCATCCTGAATATCTATTGTATTGCAAAATTGAACCGGGGACTAAAGTTAAAAAATAAAAAATAATTTTATTCTACGATTTCTTTTTAAATAACATTTTTTGAGTACTTACTATTCGACGAGGTGCAATGACATTCTCACTTCGTTTGATTGGACGACCAGCACTATTTCCATACTTCGCTTTCATCTTCTGTACTTGTACAGATATTTGTTGAAGCGGACGACGTTCTCTCTTAAATTTGGTTTTAAGACTTTCAATCCAATCATTCTATAAGAAAAGATTTACTTCTATGTTCACAGAATATCAACAGCAGATTCTTAAATATTTTATTTTGTAGTAAGCCATGTGACTAGTTAATAAAACTTACAGCCAATGAAACTTATAAAAAGAAATAATTTTCGCCAGCTGACCTTTTTTCAAATGATATAACTTTTATCAATTTACTTTTTACAAAATGAAATAATTTTCATCAATCGAACTTTTATACAATGATATAATTTTTATAAACTTACTTTTCATAAAAAGAAATAGTTTTCGTCAACTTAACTTTTATACAAAGAAATAATTTTCATCAGCTGACTTTTTTAAAATGAAATAACTTTTATGAAATGACTATTTAAAAAATGAAATAATTTTCATCAATTGAACTTTTATGAAATGAAACAAATTTCATCAACTTAAATTTTATGAAATAATATAAATTTTATGAATTGAACTTTTACAAAATGAAACAAATATTATTAAGTTAACTTTTGTAAATTGAAATAACTTTTTACAAAATGAAATGATTTTCATCAACTTAATTTTTATCAAATGAAATAACTTCCATCAACTAAACTTTTACAAAATGAAATAAATTTCGTCTACTTAACTTTTTCTATTTTCTTAGTATATAATTTAAGAGCTAGATTCAATAAAATACGTAACGTGTATATAATACTATGAAATTTATTGAAGTATATTTAGGATCTAATGATACTTCAATATGAGTCAAGTCATATATTTTACTATTTGCTTTTTAAAGCAAAAAATGTTAATGTTGATAATTTTAAAGATTAACTTATTTACCAATGCTTCGTTATCTTTAGCAGTGTTTAATTTTTTTAGTATTGCTTTGCCCATTAATCTGTAATGATCTCTAGTAGGATACCTAAATATGAAAGAAAAAGCTACTGATATTTATCGCAGAAACAATCTTTATTACTTACAACAGCGAATATTTGGTTGTCACATCATTAAAAATTGTATCAAGTAAAAGTCGACGTGCATTTGTATGACTACGGAATTCACCTATTTCACCTTTATCAATAATTTGTTGGATTCTTAATGGTAAATCTGGTATAATATAAGGAGATGGCAATGTTGGTTCTTCGTCATCCACATCATTTTCTTTATTTTCATCTTCTTTTGATGATATAATTATTTCCTCATGTATAATATCTGAAGTCGTTGTAGAACCCAATACAGGACCACCACCCTGAGTATTGCTTGAAAACATGATTGTGGACTGTGTTGTGATTTGATTAAAATTATGTTTGTCAAGTAATTGTTGAGAATCATCTAATGAAATATGACTATATTTTTCACATTTTGATTGATCAGAATCATTTCTACTTGCACCATCAAATAAATTACGATGTTCAGTTAAAAAACGTACACGATCTTTCATAGGTTTAATTATTTCATACATCATGGATTGTGGTAAATTAAAAAGTGTTTCACCATCAATATCTTCGCCTAAAAAAGAAAAGAATGTATCAATTCAAACATCTCAACAATATAAAAGGAGCAACGCATTTTAATTGCTACATTTATCATGCAGCGAGATGTTTTTTCTGCTATATGATTTTTATCAGGGTATTATTTTCATGACGCACATAGTTTATCTTTAGTAAGACGCGAAAAAACGTTTACATAAAATTTTTTTTCTATCTCATATACATCAATCCCTTTTGGTAAAATACAAATAAGTTCATCTGGCTCTTTAATGAAAAATAAATGTGTATGTTCAAGTTCATAGGACCATAAAGACTCATTGAAACTGATTGTTTGTAGTTGTTCAACTATTAATAACCAAGTGGTATTAATTTTAAATATAAATGATAGATGAAGAAAAGAGGGTATCTCTTCCTCATGCATCAACTTATCCATAAATACAGATCCTTTAATTAACATAACATGGTTGAACTTCAATCGTTGATATTCCATAATTTTTATCGTATTATTAAAATGACCAATTTTTTTTTCTAATAATTTACGAATATCAATTGGTAATGTGCATAAATCTCGTTCAGATACTGAATAACCTTCATTAACAATTGTATAATAGTTTGAAAAAGATAAAAGAAGACATTGATGTAATTGATTGCGTTTCGATAGTGTATAAAGAATATTTTTGAAATTGTTAGACTTCACAGCAAGTCGTTTAAATATCTGATGCTTCGATTCAAAGCGCATACACCAATGTCGGATAGCTGGTCCATTCATTTCGATCTGCTTTGCATAATCAGTCACAAAGTGTATCTT